CTGCACTCTAACCACTGCGCCACCTCGGCTCTCTTAACAAGCTAACAAGCTAACAAGTCCATCTGGGAAATGAATAGTTCTCTGCCACATCTATTCATCTCCACCCCTTGCCCAGAGCTACAGTGGGGGCTTTGCTCGCAGTGGTGGCTCTTCCGTCCCAAGGACCAGCCCACAGATTTTCACTGCTCTCCTCTCCTCTGCCTTCTGTGCATCTATGCGTCAGGCACTAGACCCAGCTGTTCCTCCTCTTCCTCATCAGTCAGACCTGGGGGCTGTTGACTCTCCATCTGAGGGATGACGGATGGTCCAGCTCTTCCTCTGTCTGTATCTCTGCCAGCTCCACTCCCTCTTCCCCCTCGGAGCTCTCAGGTTGCCCTGACTCCCATACCTCCTCCTCTTCTGATTTGGCTGCTGGAGGGGCTGGCTTGGAACAAACTTCTGGTTGGCCTGTTGGGCCTGTTTTTCACCCTCCCGAGGCTCCAGAATCTCTCCTGAAGCTTGGGGAGGATGAAAATGGCCTCCCACTATCCTCCGGAAGTCCAAATATCAGCTGGCCCGCACACATGTGTGCTGCTGAAGGCTGCCAAGGGCTGCCATGCCAGCAAATATGGCTCTGTATGCCACCTGTGGCACGGGTGCCATAGGTTCGCCATCACAGGTATAGGATCTCCTGTTTGAGCAGGGGGTTGGACTAGAAGATCTCCAAGGACCCTTCTAACTCTTGTTATTCTGTTAGATTCTGTTATAACTCTCAATTTGACATTGTTCTGGTGAGCTGGAATTCATTGTCATAATTCCCAATCAGCCTACTGGAGGAAAATGACGGGGATTGAAGTCCAATGCACAAGAGAATGGCATTAGTTATAGTAAAATACTATAGGGAGATGTTACCTTTAGACGAAAAACGACTAGTCCAAGATGCCTCTTCGCCGGGATCTCAAACAAGGGGTTGCTTCTGAGCAGTGACTCAAAATACTTGGCCATTTCAGTGCCCTGGGATTTCCGAAAACAAAGCCAATAATTATTTCCAATACCGCAGCCATGGTGACAATCTTGGTACAGAACACAGGGCTGCCTGTAATTTGTAGGAGAGCAGACTGCTCCATACAGGTAGTCCTCGACTTACGGCCCGCCATTAAGCCCCAAATGTATGTTGCTAAGTGAAACATTTGTTAAGTGAGTTTTGCCCCGTTTCACAACTTTTCTTGACACCGTTGTTCAGCGAATCGCTGCAGGTGTTAAGTTGGTAACACGGTTGTTAAGTGGATCTGGATTCCCGGTGGACTGTGCTTGGCCGAAGATCACAAAAGGGGACCACACACACATGACACACACACACACACCCCGGGACGTTGCAGCCGTCATAAATATTTGAGTCTTTTGTCAAGCATAACAATGTGAATCACGTGGTGATCTCCGAGCTGGAAGATTGCACGTTGTGTCGCTGCAACGTCAGCCCCGCCTCCCACCCCCGAACGTGACCACGGGGAATGCTGCAAAGGTCGTTAAGTGTGAAAAGTGGTCATAAGTCACTTGTTCCGGTGTAACTTTGAACGGTTCCTAAATGAACTGTTGCAAGTCGAGAACTACCTGTATCTTGTAGGACTTAAGAAAGTTTCCTCTTAGAGCTTATCTCGTAGCTGGAGTTCCTCCAAAGTAAAGATGTGATGTCCAGTTATTTATTTATTTTTATGCCAATTCCAACCTCAACATTCAGCAGAATTGACAGGTCAAAGACTGGTCCATCAACTGCTCTGATCAAAGTTGATCCTCAAACATCATTTGCCCAAATGTAGAGCAGTGCAGTAGAGCACAGTTGGCTACCAAGGACATCAGTAAAGTATTCCTTTTTTTGAGGGGGGGGAGAGTAAATTCATTTCATGCACATCATGCACATCATGTGTACAATAGAATAGCAGAGTTGGAAGGGACCTTGGAGGTCTTCTAATCCAACCCCCTGCCTAGGCAGGAAACCCTACACCGTTTCAGACAAATGGCTATCCAACAGCTTCTTGAAGACTTCCAGTGTTGGGACATTCCCAACTTCTAGAGGCAAGTTGTTCTACTGATTAATTGTTCTAACGGTCAGGAAGTTTCTCCTTAGTTCTAAGTTGCTTCT